CATGAGTGAGTTGGAGGTTTGGGGGTAGGGTGGGGTGTCTAATGAGGGTTCAAAAAGCTCATTAACTGCATACCAAGTCAAGAGTATTAGCTAAAGCACTGATTTATTTCTCAGTTTGGTTTGTTTTTTCCTATAATGCCCTAAACTAGAGGAGAATTTTAAGCTGCGCACAAACTATTTCCTTTGATTGAGTATGCAAATTTGGGAATCCCCGAATGTGTAAAATTGCATCATACTGTTGCTTAAAATCCCAGAAATATCTCTGCTTGTACACTTAATATCTGATTTCACAACAAGAAATCCTGTGGGCTATTCTTAGTCAACTCCAATTTAACATTCAAAGCTTGGGAATCCGTTAGTGGCATTGACGGTTAAAAGCATCAAGTTAACAGGTAATCTTCAATAGTTTACCCAAAGAGATTAACATGATCTATTCACTTTTTTTTTTCTGATGATCCAAAAAAAGTTTTAAAATCTTAGATAAGTAGAAAAGTAATGCAAACAAATTTATTTAAGCTGAGAGTGTAGACTTGTAACTTTATGTTAGCCGCTATTGTATGTTTCTAACATAAGAAAATATTCACATAACCATGCGAGGAAGCGGGCAAGCATACGCCACTGATGTTTCTAGAAGCTGCCTGTTATAGGCGAAGCCCTAACACATGGCTGTCAAGTCGAGGCTTTCACCAAAACTATGCAGTGCAGGGTTGTTGCGAAGTTACGGGGTGTGGGGTGTCTGAGTCACCCTGGGTGGGTTGATGGTCATGGATCATGTGGAATTTGGGCCTTTGGCTAAGGAAGTCCCTGCTCACAGGACCTCCTAAGTTTGCACGGAAAACCATGACCTGCTTCCTGAATCTCTCTCACACACACACCCACACACACAAGGGGGTGTATGTAGGTGGGGGTATGTCGTAGTGGCATTCTTGACAGACTAGACACACCATACACCAAAACATGCCCTTTGATATCTATATAACAAAAATGTCATGAAATGAATCATGAAATCATGCTTATTTTTGCATGGCTATTTATAATCTGTAGAAGTAGGGGGGTATTTAATGTTCACCTAGTTAAAACAGTGTTTGGATCTAGAGCCCTTCTTGTTATTATACATTTGCTGTACTTTAGTACACAACATAGTATACATTTGCAAACAAACAAATCCAGAATGGTTGTGTAAACATTGTCCAGAAACAACTTGAATACCTTCAAGTCAAAGAACTAGTAATTAACCAATCAGTTGGTCATGTTTGCTTTAGGCCGCCTCCCTCTTGAAAACATGACAACAGGACTCACAACAGCTAAAGTCAACATGGATACTGAAAAGTAATCATATGCACCCTCTAGCATGAAGTGTTCTGCATGTTTGATGTTTTCATAATATCTATGTATCTTAAAAAAAAAAAAAGAGAGAATAATTTAGCTCTACAGTTACAATGCCATTTCAAACTTTGGCTAAACAGTTTGGCCAGGGGTTTAATTCGAGTTCTTTACAGAATCTTATTGAATGTCAGTGTCGCTTGTCACAACCTGCAAAAACCAATCATTTTTAATTTGTTATTTATGAAGTTGATATTGAGATCAGGAGCTGTAAAAGTAACCATGCTTCCATCAACAGGTTTTCATGTCTCACATTGGAAAGAAT